TCCAAATACGAATGATCCAGAAATGACTATTCTTAATTCTTGCTTTAACCAACCTGGTCGTCGTCGAGAAGACCTCTACTATAGGTACATGAATTCTTTCCAGACATACAAAATCCGGGAAGAATGTATCCCCTCTATTCAAGCAATGGTCGATATGAACTTTGAATATCTTCCTATCCTCCATTCTTGGAAATTTGATAAATTGTTTAAACTCCAGCCCATTGTTTATCACCAATTAGTTCACATTTTCTACTCCAATATGGTCTATGTCCAAAACGAGCATCAAACTGAAACCATAGGGATTCAATCTTATCTTTTAGTTCAAATCCTTTATACTGACACAGGAACAATCGATTCCACCTTTGGGTTAGATAACACGGGTCTAGATAATGAAAGAGAGATTGTGGCTACTCCCTATAAAGCTAAGGCTAGTGTAAGTACCTTAAGAACTCATCACGAGCGATTCCTTCACTTGATCATCTCTTGGTGGTTTAGACCATCCGTAGGTAGGTACTCCTCCCTTAGAGTCTTAGATTTATGGTGGATACATTGTATCCAACATAAAAAGAAAATAAATTTGCCACAGATCATTTTCGGTGAATTAGTAGATACCGTAAACATTATCCCATCCAAAAATGTCGAAACTTTAGTTTACGGATGTCTCATTAGTAATTTGTTTATCAAACTCAGGCTTAAGGTTTTGCTTGATATTCTCATCCCTCTCTAGAACCAAATAAATCTCATATCCTTAAATAACTCGGGATGGTCTGTGGACAAGGATCAATGGGTTCAATCCATCGAGAAAACACTGGGAGCTAGTTCTTCACGAGCTCCTCCGGCAGGCAGCAGATGATGATCCAGAGCTTAAAGCTCTTATGCGCGATATTGACGAACACGTACCCGAGGATGAGCCAGCACAACAAGAGGATCATATGCCTCCATACTTTCGAACATATTTAGAGTTATTTGATCTAAGGTTTGCATCCATAGAATCCCATTTAACCACTATGGGGGCTCAACAATTGGAAATTCTGTGGGAGATGCGCGCAAACAATGAAGCTATAAACGAACGAATAAATGCGCTTACACTCGAGATGCGAGCACATTTTCGTCCTCCCGATCCACATATGGATTATTAGACATTGCCTTGCTTAGTTTTCTTGGATTGAGCATAAGACATATTGTTAAAACATTTTGGATGTTTTTGGATTGATATATTTTGGATGTTTGAATGTTTGAATTTGATATTTGGTTTGAACTTGAATGCTTATATATATTTGGTTTTGGTTTGATTAATTTATAATGGTTTATTATTTTTTGCATCATTTTACATTTTAGATTAATATGACCAATTTACCATCTCACATTATTTATGAATATTGAATTATGGAACTAATGGCTAACCTTTCTCTTGATTGTGATCTTAGAAGCTTAAGCTTTAACTTTTAAATCAATTGGCTATATTTTTACAAAATCTTGTTTAAAATCGTTTTTAGAGTCTTTTTGATTTAACAAAAGCAGGAGTAATTTTCACATTTTCAAAATTGACAAAATTGATATCAAAAATGATTTTGCAAGAAAATCTTAAAATTACTCAAATATTTTGTTATATCAAAAAGGGGGAGATTGTTGAAAACATTTTGATGTTTCGATATAACAAATTAAGTGTTATTGAATTTTAAGATTTATAATCATTTTTAAATATATTCGATTAAATTATTCGAATATCAAAATATTACTCTAAGTTTTTCAAAGATCAATTCAATCCTTACTAAAATGTAAAAATTGTGTTTTAAACTTAAAATATTTTTGAAACAATATTTGCAAAGTATTTCAAACCAAAATCGAGCCAAAAATCAAGTTTATAAAGGGATGTACAGATGCACTCCTTGATGTATCGATGCACACCCTAATTCGAATGCTTTTTATGTACTGATGCACAACCATGCATCGATACACTCTTGATTTTATTGAAACATCGAAAGCGTTTTATGTACCGATGCACAGATAATGCATCGATGCACTTATGGCTATTTTGAAACATCGAATGTAATTAGTGTATCGGTACCGATGCACCCCAAGTGTACCGATGCACTAGGTCAACTAACGGTCGAAATATTTGAAATTTACACATAGTGTACCGATGCACCCTTGAGAGTGTACCGATGCACCTACGCTCCTAACTGATTTTTAAATGAGAATTACACAATAACAACTCTATTGACTTTACCAATGATCCCCAACGTTCATAAGTGATCCAAGGTGTATTTAAACAAGCTTAGGAGCCATTGATCAACAACAATTATGAGAGAATCAAAGAGAAAGCCTTGAACTTATCGTTTGAGCATTTTCAAGCTTATTTTCCATTCAATATTCATTTTGCTTTCAAAGAATACCCTTTGTACTCAATTATATTATTTTTTTAATGTTCTTTCTTTGTTCTAGAATTGTGCAAACATATTGTCTTGTGAGGTTTTCTGTAAGTTTGCGAAATTTGTATTCTTTTCTTTGGGAGAGTGTTTTCAATAATTTAGGGTATAATTCTTGAGGGAATTGTAAGGTTACTCTTTGTCCTCAAAAGAAAGAACAAACTAGTGAATTTGTTGAGAATCCTTAGTGTGGATAGCTAAGGTAGTCGACGTAGACTTTGGTTGAGAAAGTCGAACCACTCTAAATCGATGTGCAATTATTTTCTATTTTTTGCAAAAACTTCCACCAAAATTTTAATTGTCAATTCACCCCCTCTTGGCTATTTCGTCGATCGATTAACTCAACATAATTCATGTTTCTTCCATGTTGGTAAGAATTAAAGCTCCTCCAAAAATGCCTTCCTTACAACATAAGGTCCCAACCAGTTTGACATCCATTTCCCTTGGAAATCTTTTTGAATGGTAGGATCCTTTCGAGTACTAGATATCCCTTATGAAACTCCCATGGATGAACTTTATTGTCATTTGCCTAAATCATACATTTTTGGTACATCTGACCATGACATATAGCTTTCAATCTCTTTTCTTTAATCAGATTCATTTCGTCATATCTAGCTTGCCTCCATCTGCCTCATCTAGCTTAACCTCTAACAAAACTCAAAGTGAGGGAATTTTTACCTCAATGGGTAGAATAGCTTCCATTCCGTAGACTAAAGAAAATGACATTACCCGGTTAAAGTTCTCACATGAGTTCAATAAGTAAATAAGGAAAACAATAATTTTTCATGCCAATTTTTGTCGTTTCAACCATATTTTCTAGAAGGTTCTTAATGTTCTTATTAGCTACTTCTACTGTGCCACTCATCTTCGGCAGTAAGTGGTCAAATTATGATGCTTTATATTGAACTACTCACAAACTGTAATATCCCAAATTTTGACTAGTGACCAAAATGAAAAAAATTGAAAGTTTGTAGTCAAAGTGTAAATTGGGAAAAGTTTAAGGACCAAAGTGTAATTTTTAAAAGTATGTATTTTGGCCCATAAATGAATAGTTTACCCCCAAGAATAACATTTTCATGTTGTTCAGATTTTTCTTACTGAGTTTGTATTAAAAGTTGCAAATCGATAATGTTAGAAAAAAAATCATATAATCAGATCAAATCAAAATTTTGAGATATTTTGAAGGATGGTAAGGCAAGGTTAATAATTTCATTTCCATAACTTAAAATGGTAGGATTTAATATGGATCATTGGATTTAAATTGATATTTCCATGTTAAATATAAACCATTGTATAAAAATGAAAATATTGTAATTTTGGAAATGTACAAGGGCAAAATTGGAAGTTATTAATTTGTTGGTTCATCTTTGATCTTTGAATGAACAAAATTGACTTGTGACTTGGTAATAAACATGAGATTATAAGGTAAAACGGTCATTTGACATTAAAATAAAATTTTAATTCATTTTAATTTTATTAAGGACAAATGACAATTTTTTTATAGAAATTTCATGAAAGATCTTCTTTATCCTCCATATCGTGAGGATCCTACAAGGTAAGGAAAAATTTTATTTTTGATTTTCAAGCCAAACTATTAGGATGAAACAATGAAACAAAAAATTATTCTACATGAACTTTTATATCATTTGGTACCATTTGTTCATGTTTTCCATGTTTGAAACATTGAATTCTTGAATTGGATGGATGAAGGGGATATTAGGTTTTTATTTATAAGGTCGGTTATGATGTTGATTCATTGTCATGCTTGTGAAGTGGTGAAAAACAATGGGAAATGATTAGATTAGGTTCGACCATGTTAGGAAATTGAATTTGATATGAAAGTGATTGTAATTGCTTAGAGAAATTGAAATTGATATGAAAGTGATTGTAATTGCTTAGAGATGATATTTAGAAGTTGAATTCATGTAACAATATCAACCAATCTTGGATTATATTTCTCCTTCCAACACATTTCTTGATTAGTTATTTCAGTTTCAATCATATGATCATTATTTGATTAGATGATTAAATTTATTGAATTAAATTAAAATTAAGACAAATTGATACAATATATACGTACTAATGATTAAATGTTTAAATGTGTAATTATATTAATTTTATTAACTTCCATGTCAGTTCATCCGTTAAATAATAATAAGTGATTTGATTGACATCACTTGAATAATTAAATAGCTTGATTGATAAAACTAAAAATCACTGATTAAATTAAAATCTCGTCATAATTAGGTGATCAAGTATGTAATTTATCTTAAATAGTTTTCTCTAATCAAAGGTTGCAAAATGAGGTTATCATCGTAAAAATATGACAAGTGACAATGATTTAAATATTAATTGAAGAAACAGTTTTTCACATGTAACTTATTAAAATTTAATAAATCGAATCGATAATATACCAATAAGTGATCAAAGTTTAAAATTTCTAAATTAATAAATAATAGCATATAAATAAATAAAGATAAATGATTAATGCAGTAGTTTATCCAAGACCAAAAAATCTTTTTAGTATTTGCTTCATAGCCAGAAGCCCGGATTCCAGAAGATAATACCCTCTCCTTCATCCACTACCAAACACCGTATTATAGGTTTCTAGGGTTTTGCCCCACCACCCACTTCCGCTGTACTCGGCTCGCCGCCACCACTTCCGTATTTTCTATCAACATTTCTATCCATAATGCCAACTTGTGTATAATAAAAGAATACAAAATATGGGCAGCAGCGGTAGGCTCCTAATGATCCTTTCTCCTCCTTCCCCTATCCTCCTCCATCAACGCCGTCCCTTCTCCTCCCTCCTCCGCCTCACCCGTCACCGCATGCGGCTATCCTTCTTCCGTCAACATCATTTTACGCCACTCCGCCCTTTGCTACCCATCATTGAAACCAAAAAAGACTCGTTCTTGTTTCTTCCCAGACCTTCACCACGCCATTTCCACGCCCAAACCGCCTCCTCAAATTTCGCCAATTCCTCCTTATTGGCTCCACCCAATCTTTCATGGCCCGAATTCTCCGCTCTTCTTAACAACATATCGGCCGCAGGCTACTTCAATTCCCATCATACCTCCAATGAGCTTGCGGCGGATGCTTCCCAGTTGCCAGAAGAGTTTCTAGTTGTGTTGAATGCCTGCTTGGCTTTCGCGCGTGATAAAACGGACCTTCTAAGGTACCAATAATGGAAGTTCAAATTAAAATTTTGCTTACATCATGTCGATTTCTTCATTTTTAAGTGTTTTCCCCTCGTTTTGCATTGGGGTTTATGATCAGATTGCTTTCGAGGAAGGAGATTGAGGTGGTGGTGCAAAACGGGAAGCCTTTTTTGTTCAAGGATGAGGAGGAGTCCGCAAGGAGGTTGACGGTGTTCCTAAATAGCGGTGAATGCAATGTAAGTATCGTTTATTTTGTTTAAGAGTATATATACGGGTGCTAGAAGGGCAATTGAAACTACTTATAGGGTTGAGTTGAGTCTTATTTTGTAACTCTAATTTTATTTGAGTTTGGACAAGTTTATAAAATTTGAGTGGAATTGTTCGACCTTCTGTTTAACTTTAATTATAAATATTTATCATATTGTGGTACTAATTGATTTTAATTTAAACAGTTTTCTATAACCATGAGCAATATATATATATATATATATATTTCACATGTGATATACATATCTGGTACAAAGTTGAGTGACTCGACTCAAATTTGAAAATTAAACCACTAATTACTGAAAAATTTTGAGTTATTCGAGTTCTAATTTATTACTTGACTCAAATTTGAAATTTTTTCGAGTTGAGTTTATGAAATTATGACTTGAAATTAAAATGAGTCGAGTATTTTTTTTTTTTGAGTCCAGTTGAGTTTTGTTCACCCCTAACACGAGTAGTACAGAACAGGGGCTCTTCACAAAAACTCTTGTTATTCAAACTTCCTTTTAAACCGAAGTATAAAAAAGTATAGGGTTTTGGTTGTTGCTTATTGTTGATTCTATGTTAGAAATTAAGGGGTTTAGTCCGTTAACCTTGTATTCTAATTTGTATGTGAAATGGTTCCTATAGGATGATTCTTGCGTCGTACGGCCTCCAATAAGTGTTTATATGTATGAATCTTGTGTGGTTGTATATGTTCTTTTCGAGATAAAGTAAAAATGAAGTCCCTTCTTTTTCTATCACTGATGCTGTTGAATCCATACCCTTGAAACTAGTATGTTCTATGTTTCTGAATGTTTTTCAGTTTTTAGGTTGCAGATGTCGATAAAGCGAACACGGTTGATTTAATGAGGTTTTTATTGAGTTATGCAAGCAATGTTACCTCTTCGTTGGATAGAACCAGTCTCTACAACACAGATCTTGTTGAATCTTCTGTCCGTCATTTGCTGGGCGAGTTGGCAAAACTGAGTGACAGTCTTCCAGTTTCAAACTATTCCGAACATGAGCAAAATGGACAAATGGCAAGGTCTTTTGGGCCAAATATTGAAATGAAAAGAGGTGACTGGATTTGCCCGAGGTAGGTCTCCATTTTTTTATCATCTGCATAGGTAGTCTAGTGTTATATCCCTTTTTTGTAATCGTCAGAGAAGCCAAGGATTTTATACTTTCTACTCTTCTGTACAAGCACCGAGCATATGTGCATTCTTGGAACTTCACGACCAATACGTCTGTAGAAATCTTTTCTTAATGAAATAATTAGCAGAGACTATACCTAGTGGGTGCCTTTTGTTTTGAAAGAACTGTGTCCGTCTGATTAGATCCAATCCTGAATTGGAATACTTTGTATGGATAACGTTATCAAGGATATCAGTTACTATATGTATTCGTAAACGAGGGTTGCCTATCGCATGTGCTCCATGTTACCTGTGATTGATTGGCGCTAAAGAGTTATGGAGGCATAATGTTTTATTCTTTGTGCAGATGTAATTTTATGAACTTTGCAAGAAATGTGAAATGCCTCGAGTGCGAGGAAGAACGGCCCAAGCGGCAATTGACTGGTGGAGAGTGGGAGTGTCCCCAGTGAGCATTGCTTTTTTCTCTCTTTTCTTTTTGGGAATTAATATTGTAATTTTAATGTTTTTAATTTTTTGTTACAGATGTAATTTCTTTAATTATGGGAGGAATACAGTATGCTTGAGGTGTGCTTGCAAACGTCCAGGACAGATCTCAGTTGGTAATGCGTACTCTAGGCCGGCTTTAGCATACAGCAATCAGACTTCTTCAAATAAGGCTGATCTTGATAGGCGCTTAGCTGCCAATGAAGAGAAGGCGCGACGATGGTTTAGTAAGGTTTCTCAGCTCGACTGTACCGATATGAGCTCTGCCATAGCAGATGAAGATTTCCCAGAAATCATGCCTTTGAGGAGAGGTGTTAATAGATTCGTTGTGAGTACAAGGAAATCACCTCTGGAGAGGAGGTTGGCTGATGCTCAGTACCGTAGAAACATGGATAATGATGGCATTCCTGGTCGTAACAATTTTCAGACTGGGGAAGTAAATAAGACCCTGGATGCCCAAGTTAATCGGAGTTTAGATGAGATTCTTGGTCGTCCATCTAATGATGCTAGCATCAATACTGGAGCAGAGAATGCTCCTGTTTCTACTACAATTCAGGACGGTCATCCTAGAGTAGCCAAGTCTAATAACGTTCCATTTGTGCCATTACCAGCGGATATGTTTGCGAAGAAATCTGAAAATTTGGAGATGCAGGATAGTCGAAAAGATGTATCGAATGAACACAACACTGATGTTTCAAATGCAGTTGGACAAGTGGATGCTGTTTCTGGGAGTGAGGATTTGCTGAGGTCTCTAGGAACTCAGCAACATTCGGAGAAAGAAAACCTCGATGAAGAGGTAGACCAAGCTGAACAATCTGAGGGATGGTTTAAGAAGGTTGCGGAGCTCCACAATGTTACCGATCTTGCCACTGCAATTCCTGGTAAGGACTTCCCCAAAATCATGCCTATGCGCAAAGGAGAGAATAAATTTGTTGTTAGCAGAAAGAAAGACCGTTCTTTGACTTCTCCGACTTACAAGAGACTTGTGGCAACCGAGCAAGCTAGCAATACCAATTATGTTCCCTTTGTCCCCTTCCCACCTGACTACTTTGCTAAGAAGGATAAACTGCAGACAAATGGAACAGATTCTAGTGCAAAAGCAGCTGGAGAAACTTCAACTCTGTGACACCAGGGCAGCCTTCACATAAGTTATCCGAGATGTCTGTTACAGATGATATGCAGTCAACGCAAAATCAACAGATGCAAAGCTGGACCTTGAAACCTTCTGGAGGAAACTCAAGTGAGACGAGGAGAGACGCAGCTTATCCGGAACAGACTAGTGGATATTCAAAACCAAGTTCTCTCAAACCCCGAACAAGTACTAATGCCAGTAGGAAACAGGTGACCGATTTTCCTGGAAGTTCAACCCCACAGTCCGGGCATCAGAATGTTCGGAGTAGTTGGAGTGGAAAGAGTTTGGAAGGTTCAGCGGTGAAGGAACCAGATCCTCTGGACATGTCGGAAGAGGCCAAAGCTGAGCGGTGGTTTCGCCGTGTTGCTCAGATAAAGGACATTTCAGAGCTCAGCCAGATCCCCGACGAGGATTTCCCATCTATAATGCCAATGAGGAAAGGGGTGAATAGGTTTGTTGTAAGCAAACGGAAATCGCCGCTGGAGAGAAGGTTGACATCTCAGCAGTATCGTAGAAATCTTCCAGATGTTAATTCGGGTCCGGGGAAAAAAGGAAACTAATAATAACTAAGGTAATAAACGCAACTTTGTATTTATACATGATACATTTTTTTTGAAAAATCCCATCATGCTCTTTGTAGCAATTATTCATTAGAGTGGGTCTTTTCCACCAGAAAGGTGTACCGTTTCAACATATTTCTTTACTTTGTGTGAACTCTGAACAATTGCAGAAGAAATTCTTATTGAGATTGAAGTTAGGTTTTAGTTATTATTATTAGGATTATTTGAAAAATAAGTAGTTATTTTCGTTAGGTGCTTGAAATTCCCCCCCCCCCCCCCCCGGAAATTGGTCAACATTTCATTCCCTTCTATCCATTCTGACCATTAAAAAAGCTATCCAATGAGTTTGGCCGTACACTTATCAGCATAAATATAGATCTTTAATGAACGCATCAAAGTGTTTTTATTTTAATGGTAAAAGAGATAATTTTTTAGGGGCCTTGATTTTAGCAATTGTCTGTTAAGCATGCTTGTTTTGTCAATAGACTAAAAAAAGTTATGAATAGATATTATGTTGTAATAATTTATCAGGATTTAACTTGATTTATAAAGAAGGGATTTAAGAAAAAGAAGAAATTTGGGTTTACAGAAATAGAGTACTTCAGATTTTTCATTCATAAAACTTCAAAAACATCCATGATAATCTGTTTATCTCATATTGGTTGTACAAATTATTTAGTGGTAGTTGCACGTACGTTCTTAAGAGAATTGATGCCCTCCTCGACCGTTGATATTGCGCCTCACTCGTCTAGATTTCCTAGCTGGATGGATCTTCTGTTCCTTGGCCTAACTGTTTGTCCATTGCTTTGGCTTGCTCCATCACCAGCTGCTCATCAACTTTTTCCATCATGAGCGCTTCATCAGATAATAAACCTTTCCCTTCAACATTTCTCACTTTCTCTTTTCATCTTTTGAAATTCCTCATCCTCCTTTCAATTTTCTAATTCCACCTTTGTCAATCCCTAATTCTTCCTTTAGGACCTTGCAACGGTTCTTCAGGTGGTCTCGGGTTCAAGTTCCAACTTGGAATTGTGATGGAGTCCCCACCGATCATTTTTTAATTAGGTAGATCAAACACTTGTCATTTACTGAGTCTGCGTTTTACCATAGTCGGATTTGAGAGTTGTTTACGATCAAGGAAGGATGAGCACCCCCGAATCGTCCTTTCGGTACGAATTGATTACTCTGTTGTCTTGATTGTGAATATTGAAATTTAAATAAGAATTTAGATTCGATTCGAAATTATTCACGTTTGACAAACTTTAATTTTAATTGGATCCCCTTTGAAAAAAAATAAAATTAAAGTTAATAATAATAATAATAATAATGATGATGAAATAAATAATAAAAATTAAATAATAACAATAATAAATGTTGTAAAAAAAGTAAGTCAAGGCACCAATTTATAAACAAATAAAAATATAAAAATGATTAAATTGAATTAAATCAAAATTTGGTGACCAATTTATAGTAGGTGACCAAATCGGATTACACTTCAAAGCTTCATGGACCACATGCATGATTTAAAAATTTAGTAATTATAGGGAGCTCCTTCGTATTTAAAATCGCCCAAAACCCATTTTCTTTAATTTGTGTCAACTTTCCCAAAACTCTCACCCTCAAAACACTCTCAACCTCAATCCCTGAATCCGACCAAACCCCCACTGGATCACCGTCCACTCGCCACCTAACTGTCACTCTAGCCACCACCCACAGTGGCCGTGAAATTGAACCCTTGCCTTTTTCGAAAGTTTTTATACACCGATCCTAAATCACCATACAATGAGCTCTACGACGCATATCTAAAAAGAAAGGTCTCAGCTTTCTTACCTTCTTTGGCAAGCGTTCGATTTTCGATGACCAAAGCTAAGGGTTTTTCTCTCTTTCTCTTGCTTTTGTAGTTTTGGTGTTTCAAAAACGTTGTTGATCTATTTTTTTCTTGCATGCAAGTGATTTTTTTAAAAAAAGTTTCTAGTGCACATATAAGAGGTAAGATTGACTTCTTTGGCTAAAAATGCAAGCTTTTTTTTTTTAAATACATGTGTTTGATAATTATTTTAGAATTTAGGTCATTTGCTATAGTGCACGTAAAACATATTACGAGGGAATGACAAGTTCCATAAAATATATTAAAAAATTAGAACGCGTCATGAGGAAATGACAATTTTGTTCCAATTCATATGATGAGTTTTATTTTTTAATATATTTTATTAAACTCTTCACCCCTCATGACACGTACAATGTAGTAAATGACCTAGATCCCAAAATATTTCTCAAAACCCCCCCATTTTTCACACGCACAAAAAAAAATTCTCCCACAATATTCCCAAAATTTAAACAATAAGACTCATTTACACAGTGTAAAATTTAAAAGTTTGTATATTATGTTAGTTAGTTGAAGGATAATTAGTTAAAGAAAGTAGACGATCAAGATTAACAATAGAAAAATGAGTAGATTTTTAGGGGAAATTATGCAGATTATTTTTAATTTATAAATTTTAATCTTATACATTAAACTCAATTAATCAAACGATCTAGATATCTTGTAAAACTTTTAACTTTTATGTTCTATAGCTATTTGGATGAGTGAAAATGGATTATTGAAATTAATAACAGAAAATGAGATGATTTTTAAGGAAAAAAGTGAATTATCCTCATTTAAAATCACAATAACTAAATCAAAGTTTATATTGTATTGGTGGATTCTAGCTCTTATATATAAGTTATAATCTCAACCATTAAATTCAGGTAATCAAAGGATATTGTTTTGAATTAATCTAGGATAATTACAAGTGGTAGTATATTCTCTAAAGATTCAACCATTTGACAATGAAAGCTCATATACCCTGCAGTAGATGCTCGAACTCGAGACTTCTAGTGTAACACCATCAGATTGATACGGGTGACCCGATTTGATCCAAGGTGTCACATTAGGGCCACTAGAGCGACCCACTCTGAAAATTCAAGAAAAAAACTTTAACCAATCAAATTTTGAAATTGAAAATTAATCTTAATATATAAATAAATTCATACATTAAAATAGAATTCAGTAATAGATAGTGTAAAAACAAGTTTTAAACTGATATAAAAACAACTGTAACCTACATTCCTTCTAATTACATACGTCGTACTCCACAAGCAACGACGAAGGAACTCCCAACTGATGTCGATAAGAACATAAAATAATTTTCTTTAACCTGAATTAGTAAGTGACAGAGTGAGATTTGGAAAAGCTCAGTAATACAGAACTACCAAAAGATGCTAAAGGAAAACAACTATATAGTAATGCAAGAAAATTTCTTTAGTGATACTGGTATCTATATGCTTTAGAAAAGTCTTGTAAATTTATTTATTAATCCTAAAAGTAGCAGTCGAAAAGTACCTAGATCGAAAGATGTCATACACAGATATATCTCAGAGGCTGAGTTGAAGAGTTTAGTGTTCTCCCTCATTACAAAGAAGAATGTACATATAATTTATTTCAGTAAAATAGACTTTTATAGAGAAGGTAACTTTAGTTGAAAATATCTGACTGCCCTCCATCCAAACACCAGAAAGTGTTGGTTTTCTGAAACCATACACCCACATGTACACCAGGTAAGGACTTTATACTGATAGCATAAGGGCCTGCAATAAGTACTTATCGTGTGTACAATGCAAAGAATCTTGCAGTAAGGACTTACCATGTGTACAAAGCAGAGGAGCATATGGTAAAGACTTATCCTGTACACAAAACAGAGGAGCCTACGTTAAGTACTTACCCTATGTGCATCAAATTTGAACATATGCTATGGTAGGATAATAGACTTCTTTAGAATTATTCTAACCTGACTAAGCATAAATTGGATATAAAAACTTGATCTCGTAGATGTACTAAATTCGATGTGCAAAATGTGCAAGTATAGACGTCGAACAAGTAATAAAGTGATAAGTGAGTATCATTCCACGGGGATTGAAGGAAATTGCAAGTTAAGTTATAACACTAGTATAAATTATCTAAGTATAGTTAGTATGACGATATGAACAAATGATTATGTTGTGACAAGATGAAATGTATGGAGGTAGAATCTCAGTGGTAGTGTGGATGAGTAGCAAATGGAAATGTTATGAAAAAAAATGAGATGTTTGAAGTATAACCAATAAAAAATGTTAAATCAAACTAGATTGAGAATTCATGGATAAGTAAGATAACTTGACAATCCTCACACAAACAAGGTACAATGGGAATGAATGGTGGGGTTACTAAGTAATCCTAAGCCTTACCTTTTAGAATGATTCAAGCTTTTATGGACTATTTGCTCAACAAAGTTTACTAAAAGTGTCCCTATGCTAACTCTAGTCATGGAACCTAGCAGATAAAATGCCACGACAATACCTCTCAGCTTGAACAGTAGCATAAAACCTATCACTTAAGCACTACTCCTTTTAGTCATTTAAACCCTATCCTTATCTCTATGGTAGATTAGGTCTTAGTTAGCAGCTAAAACCCATTGCTCACATTGATCTTCACTTAGTTTCTTTCGAACACTAAGGATCTTCACTCAGTCGCTCTTGAACATTAAGTATTGAACCTAATAAATGGCTACTCTCATAGCTCTTACAATCTTAAGTAAATAAATACAATGATTAAAGAAAATAATAGAAATAAAAACTTAAACCATTCATTAAAACAAACACTTAATCATCCATAACAACCCACACGAAATAAGGTTTAGTTCATGCTAGGGTTCAATCATCCAAGAAAATAATTTGTTCCATAACAACACACAAAATATAAAAGTAACAAAAAAAACACAATGGTGGAGAAAAGACTCCCAACGTACACTGCCGTGAGCTCCCTCAGCCACCATGAACTACCTTAGCGACATCGACTCCTCTCGGATGCTAAGCTCGCTACTCTCTTGAGTTTGAAAATGGAGGACACAACGAAAAATATAAAATGGGTAAGGAAATAGAAACTTTCAGTTGTCATTTTACTCTTGCATACCTCACTTTTTCCCAAAAAGAATCCTCTTTTTTTGTGGCATCATTTCCTATTTATACTAGGGGAATATTTTAAGGTTTTATTCCAAAATTCCTTAGTACCCTAGTGT